TTTGACATTATAAGGATGACTGAATTATTTCCAAGTAGCGGAATGCTACAGAGGTAAACAAACAATATCATTTGGAAGAGGATTAATAAGTGTTGACATTCATACAAATGAGTAATCCTGTAAACGTAAACAGAATATTTTATATAGATTTTTTTTAATGAAAACTTAAAATCCTGCATTATTTTCCGGACAACCCGATATTATTCACTTAGACAGAATTAGGCCAAATTTGTTTCGTTATTCAAGGGAGCCCAAACCTCCAGAATAAAATTAATTATCTTATTCTATCTTCTTCTTCTTTTTCTATATAATAATATATCTAATACCATGATGTTTAGTTTTATGAACTAAAGTTACAAACGAAAATTCAAACCTTTCCTAACATAGGAAAAGGGTTCTCTTTTGAAGGCCTTTTTTATTTTAAAAAGTCACACGTTATAAATACAATATTTACTAATAAATTGTATGGGTTTAGTTATGACAAAAAACCTATGGATTTTATTTTCAAGGAATATTTCTCGTCATAATCAGATTTGTTATTAATTTGTTACAACGTGAGTGGTATTAGGAGAGTACTTTTTTTTAAACTCTTCTGTGCATCTGTGTGTGTATATATTTTAGTTTATTTCTCCCTAATAGCAATTTTATTCAAAAATTAATATAAAACTTGAACTTAATTCCACAAGATTTTACATTATCCAGGCAGCATCTGAATACATTGGGCTTTTGACATTTTTTTGGTTGTTGACGTCTGGGATATTCACAGGACAATTTGTTGTTACCTTTTTTACATTGCTTAATATGTTAAATAAATTATTTTTAAAACTCCACACGTCGAACTGTTACGTTTAAAGCAAAGAACCATTATTTTGAATGAAAAGGCACGCTTTTTTGCAGCGTCCAAAACCAACTGTTTTGCTATGAAATAAATTTTTATTATAGGTCGGCCGGATCAAACTCAATTCATGACGACCTAATATAGTATTCTATCGACATCAAGTTTACTGAGATGGCGGCTTAAGTGGCAGTTGAAGTTCCGTGTGGCTGAGAATTGTGGCCAATAATCCATTAGTGGTAACATACGAATCCTGGCTTACACACTCGGCTAATTCAGCATTATCGACCACCGAAGGGCCGCCTGATCGAGTCTCAAACCACGATGTACCCCTTGGCAGTCCGGTGTAGAAATAACTTCAGCTGACTCCGACCTACTTTTTTCTTCATTTCTCTTCGCAACTTTTAATACTAAATTTCATTCAAAAACAATGATCCAAGGGAAACATCAATTTTAACAGTAGTGTACACAAAGGAAATAAATAAACATAATATTTTATAAAGGATGTAATGTTGTTCTGAAAAGTATGATTATTGATTACAAAGAAATGTTAAACGTTGTCTATACTACGGCTTCAGTGTAATATGAAATGAATCCAATTGGGGCAACTTTTGCTAAGTAATACCCGAAATGAAAGACAAGCCATGGCGTTTTAATGAATTAAAACTTCATTTCTGGTTACTAATTTAAAATGGTTTTGTTGCTTAAATAATAATTTTACCTCTTAACAGGTGTGACACTTAAAAACGTCATAACGTAGTTTCTGTAAATAATAAGTCAAACAACTTCTGTATTGCTAAACTGGTCTGTTAATAATATTTCTGATGTTTTCGTATTTTAAAATCGATTTTTTTTTACTTTTAAGGATAATTTTTCTTGCATATAGTAGAATATAATAATACAAAAAAACGTCTGCAGATTACTGTTGCCTGAGTTAGGTTTGAAAAACTAAACAAATTAGTATTTACAGTCAGATCAATACGACTTGCGATATTTGTTGGACATTAGATAATACAGATTGACGGCTAAACCGCAGACAGAGTTTCATACGGAAATAATTTCAACAAGAGTAAAAATGTATCTCGCTTTTATGGTGGTTTAACTTTCCTAGGAGGATTGACGTAACTTCTCATGATCTCCGGGATAAGAATCGCTTCAGAAGAAAGTTAGATATCAAAGTTCGAGAAAGGGATAGGCTGCCTATCACTTTCTCGATAGGGGGCAAAACATCTTAACGATTGGAGTAAATATTTTTTAATATCCACTCCTTGTTTAAATGTCAGCAATAATTAAAAGAATAAAATTAAACTTTAGAAAAAGGCCAATTAGATTTATCAGGACTGTAAAACTTTAATTTCTAATTTAAAAGTTTAGCAAATATCTGTTTACAATTTTTGAAACCAAAGTTTCGCGTAGAATACAATTAATTAAAATATAATAGACATATTTTTTTTAAAGTGTTTGAAATATCCAAAAGCCGGATCTCCGTATGGCCTAAATGAAAAAACAAATTCAATTGTATCTACTATCTACCAAGTTTTAACCTATTTTAAGGTCATAATCTATATTAATTACATAATATTATGCCTACATTAATTACACCTTATATAAGTGGGAAGTTTATGGGCCGACAAACAGCTGAGGTCATCGCCGGCCCTCTGTGTGTTTTCCTTCTTTTTCTCTTCTTTCACGCGTATTTTGTTTTAAACTGCAGCCATTTGAGCGTCTCGATCTGGTTACTGACTCTCTGATTTCAGATATATACTACGTTGATATTCTAGAATGCTAGTCTCTCGTTTGTACCCAAGGTTGTCAAATACAGAATAGAACCAAAACATACAATACATATATATATTCATCACCACAAACATAGATATCTGGTCACATTCACTCCCCCAAAGTACTTGATATTCCTCGGGGCGGGGTTATAAGCAACCCCTTCCTTTCACGCTAATAAATTACTTCTACTCTCCAGACGTCATACACTCACCCCAGAGTACTTGATATTCCTTGGGACGGGGTTATAAGCAACCCCTTCCTTTCACGCTAATAAATTACTTTTACTCTCCAGACGTCATACACTCACCCCAGAGTACTTGATATTCCTCGGGGCGGGGTTATAAGCAACCCCTTCCTTTCACGCTAATAAATTACTTTTACTCTCCAAACATCATACCCTCACCCAGAGTACTCGATATTCCTCGGGGCGGGGTTATAAGCAACCCCTTCCTTACACGCTAATAAATTACATTCATTACAATAAATTAACACAAACACAACACTCGATAGAAACATAGAGGTCTGGTCACATTCACTCCTCCAGAGTACTCGATATTCCTCGGGGGGTTGAACCCTCACCACTCTCGCTAATAACTTACTTTTACTCTCCAGACGTCATACACTCACCACAGAGTACTCGATATCCCTCGGGGCGGGTTATAAGCAACCCCTTCCTTTCATGCTAATAAATTACATTCATTACAATAAATTAACACAAACACAACACTTGATAGGAACATAGAGGTCTGGTCACATTCACTCCCCCAGAGTACTCGATATTCCTCGGGGCGGGGTTGAACCCTCTCCACTCTCGCTAATAACTTACTTTTCCTCTCCAGACGTCATACACTCACCCCAGAGTACTCGATATTCCTCGGGGCGGGGTTATAAGCAACCCCTTCCTTACACGCTAATAAATTACATTCATTACAATAAATTAACACAAACACAACACTCGATAGGAACATAGAAGTCTGGTCACATTTACTCCCCCAGAGTACTCGACATTTCACGGGGCGGGGTTGAACCTTCTCCACTCTCGCTAATAAATTACTTTTACTCTCCAAACATCATACCCTCACCCAGAGTACTCGATATTCCTCGGGGCGGGGTTAAATCACCCCTTCCTTTCATACTAATAAATTACATTCATTCCAATAAATTAACATGAAGACAAACACAGACACAACACAAACACATAAAACTATACACATTTAAAAATTACACCTTAAGAATACATATTTGTACAGTTAATTCAACAATCGATATAACTATGTACTTCTTACAAAACTATCTTAAACATGTCAACAAATTAACATAATTAAGTTTGTAATATATCATTATCAATTTGTTTTGAAGACAGCAAAGGACTGTAACATTTTAGCAACCTTAAATACAAATATGTTTTCATAATGTGTAATTAATATAGGCACTTTTGATGGCATTAACATAGGGCGAAAGCTTGGCAGATAACAATTGAATTTTTTCATCCAGACCATGTCGAGATCCATATTATTTGGGACATATCTTTGTATATATATGTATTTGACATGTGTTATTTTTGGAACCAATTTAGCGTGAATGAAGGGGATTATACCCAATTACTCCGATGAATATCGAATATGTTGCGTTAGTGTGGATATAATTTAGTAGTAAATGGAAGGGCTTCTTCTCTAATCACCTCAGGAGTATGAAATACTCTGGGAGCACTGTGAATGAATTATGGTTTTGTGAATGTAATTTAGTAGCGAAAAAGGAAAGGCTATCTCCAATTACCCTGAGAAATATTGAGTATTCTGAGGTTATGCTAAAAAAGCCTGGTATATGAATGTAATATATTAGCGCGAATGAAAAGTTTACCCACAATCACCCCGAGGAATGTCGAGTATTCTGGTGTAGTGTGAATGAAGTATGTTAAGTGCAATATCGAGTATCGAATGCCCTTCGTTAGCGTAAACGAACTGTGAGTGAGAGTAATTTATTAGCTCGAATGGAAGAGATATCCCCAATTACTCAAGGAATATCAAATACTCTGGGGCAGTTGGGCATGTTTTTTATCTTGTTCTTCTTGTTATATATATTTCTGTTATTTTATCCACAATTAAAGAGGCCCTGACGTGCAGAGAGTCTAACAATAGGATTAAAACATAAAGAGTCAATTACCGTCCTAATTGGTCTGATCATAACTTGAGAAACGGGGAAATAAATTGGCAGGATTAAGACGCGAAAAAAAGAGGAAAAGAAATCAGGGCTGGAGATGACCATGAAGTTTGCTATGTTATTATTATAATACTATAACAAAATTTTTTTATTTACAATTGCCAATCAATCCAAATAAATAAATTATTTTGAAAACATACATATAATCACATTTTATTATTGGGGAATTAATGAAATAAGCGCATAACGTTTCCTTTGTTTTAAAGCAAATCCTATTATCTTGAAAACGGAACTAACGGAGTGCGAAGAAAAGCAAACAATGGGATATATGCCACGTTTGGTATAAAACAGTGAGGATGTGGGCAAATAATATTAATCCTAATCAGTAAAAGTTAAAAATCAGTTGTTATTTTTAAAAATTACCAGCCAACCCATGCAAATTAGGCCCTTGTCGAACGGTAAATAGACGTATTGGGTGATGGACGATTTATTTAATTCGGAGAACCTGTCAGGGCCGAAGTTATTTGGTTTTGGAAAAAGGTCGGGTCGTGGTGAAGAGCGTAAACTGGAATATAGATTAGCCTCCCATCCTCCACTTTCAGGCCGGATTCGGTAGTCCAATTTTTTGTGCATTGCCTTGTTATTATAGGCAACGTCAGATATTTTCTCATCGTTTCTGCAGCAGAAAAAAAATGTTGGCGTCACACAGAAAGGACCAGCGATAAGTTAGATTGTTTGTTTCCAGCGCGAGTTAGGAAACCACACACCAACCAAACATGTCCCGAGAAAAACAACTTTTTTTTATCTTCTTATCTTTTAAATTTTTTCCCTGTTCTCGGTCTAAAAAGCTTTCATTTAAATAAAAAGTTAGACATTCCATTAAATCTAAAATACATACGACATGATATGCGCTGGAAATTTGTATAATTGCAGTGCAAATTTATGTTCTTGCTGGCTTCTAATTAATCATTATGCAATCCACTATTCCTCTTTTGAAATGTCTAGGAAAAAGATTTTTACTGTTCTTTCAGTATTTTACTGGTTTTTAATCATCATATTTACCTGTCAGATAAAGACATCTGTGAATAAGCAATTTTACAGGTACAGCCATAAAAAATGTCATCAAAAATTCATAAATAAATTATGTATATAACATAATGATAAGTGGTTGTTAAAATCCTTGTTGTGTTGAATTATTAGTTAAATATTATTTTGTGTTTGTTTTTGAATTTATACAATTGGTATGATAGTGTATTTTTTTTTTTTTGAAAAATTGTTGACTTTTTAATATATTTTATTACCATCTGTTTTAATATTACATGTTATTTTTGTTATTAAGATGATACATATATACCTAAATGTACATAGTTGAGGAGAGCTAATAATAAATGTTATCGTTGTTTATGGTCATTTCAGCTTAAGCCGCCTATTGGGGAGATTAGAGAGTTTACTGTGGAACTTGGTAATTTTTGGGAATTAATTTTGGGATAAATGGGATTTTAAGGTCGTTATGGAGGGTAGTATTGGAGGCATAAAACGGAGCATTTTATAATTGATCTAAAGACTTTAAATTGAAAGGGTTGGAAACATGTGATATTCGACGATTTAACGGTTCTCCATACCGTTCTGATTCCGTGTCAAGCGTGAGCCCAGCGTGTCCAAGGGTAACGAACGCAATCTGATTTTGAAGAATGGTTCTAGTAGATTGTGAAATTTAATTTACTTCGGAGTCGGAGGACATGGACGAACTTGCTATATCTTTGTTTTCCATTGTCTTTACCAATCAGCTATAGATGAGTATCTGTAGTACTTCCGACTGACATGTAGAATCAGGGTCAGAGGATATATGCGTTTGCAAATAATATATTGTTAATCATTCCAGGACTATTCGAATTTGAATTAAATGTTAAGGCCAATGAACTGAGCACTTATGAAATAATGATCGTTCCAAAATCCCTGAGAAATCTGAGATTTGAATGTTTCAACAATTTAAATAAGAATAGTGAACTAATTGGAGCGTGCATGGGAACAAAAACGCGGGTAGTAAAGTATGAGATTTATGAATTGATAGTAATTGGACATGGAATTCACATATCAACAAACCCTTAAAAAGCTTCCCTTCTAATAAATATACTGGCAAAATCTGTTAAGGTCTATTGAGGATTAGGTAGAGGCCTTAAAAAAAGTACGAGAGTGCGATATTGCCAATGTTAAGCAACGCTGCTCCTGTTTGGGATAGTGCAATGACAATAAAAGTTCAAAAACGGGGAGTACCCGATGAAAACGTGCCATAACGATTTTTCAGAGGATATCGTTCTCCTTTCTTGCGTTATGCAAGACCGGTATCCTTCAGCTTGATATTAATCATAAGAAACTGAAAGAACTTGATCAACAGATTACGACTGAAAACAATCACTACTGTAAACAGATGTGAACATACCGGCAGAATATTTGACTCCCCAAGTAGAAGTTGAAAATCAGCTTGAAAAACGAATCTATACCGATGTCGAACAGATAATAAAATAGGATATTGAGCGATAGTAGTGAAAGGAGAAGAATCTGTGCAAATTCTACATTATAAATTGTAAAAATAGTTCACTAATTTCGTGGTCCGCTTGACCAATTACTATATTACAATTAATTAAGGTTTTTAGTTGAGATAAAAAAGTCAATGGCACGAGCGGGATTCGAACCCACGATCTTCGGCTTGATACGCCGCTGCTCTACCGCTTGAGCTATCGTGACCTCGATCCACTCGGACACCAACTTCTCAACTCAACCCCACCTTTTGAGTCTTCCCTCCTTTTTGCCATTTTTCAGTTGATGTCCGAGTGGATCGAGGTCACGATAGCGGACCACGAAATTAGTGAATATAATGATTTAAAATGAAGTATGTATACTTCACTAAGAGAATCCAAACCGATTACACGACATTTGAAAAATGGCAAAAAGGAGGGAAAATTCGATAGGCCACGATAGCTCAAGTGGTACAGCAGCGGCGTATTTAGCCGAAGGTCGTGGGTTCGAATCCCGCTCGTGAGGATGACTTCTTTATCTCAACTAAAAACCTTAATTAATTGTAATATATTAATTAGCCAAGCGGACCACGAAATTAGCGAATTTAATGATTTAAAATGAAGTGTACTTCACCAAAGCTCTCCGTGGCCATTTCATTTGTCGTCGAGAATCCAATCCGATTACATGACATTTGAAAAATGGCAAAAAGAAGGGAAAATTAAAAAGGTTTTATGTAAGGTCTTGGTTGAGATAAAAAAGTCAGTGTCACGAGTTGAGATGGAGACTCGAGAGGATCGAAGTCACAATAACTCAAGTGGTAGAGCAGCGGCGTATATAGCCAAATATCGTGGGTTCGAATTCCGCTCGTGCCATTGACTTTTTTATCTCAACTAAAAATCTTAATTAATTGTAATGTAAAAATAGTGTTCTAATAACTTAACGTTCTAATAAGTTCAATGGATGACCCACGCCGGATTGGAAAGTAAAAAAAGCAGACGAGTTGGCAACAAACACACATAGAGATTGGACAAGAACGATCACGTTTACCAAGACACCAAGAAAATTCATAAAAGAGACAATTATCTGAGCAATGGGGCAGAGAATGAGATTGGCAACAGATGATGGAAGTATAACGAAAGAGCCCCGACTATAAAATCAAGGTTAAAAATTGATTTATGTTTTAGTGGTCAATTGACCAAGTTACTTCTTCAATTAATTATTATTTTTATGTGAGGTCTAGGTTGATATAAAAAAGTCAGTGTCACGAGCGGGATTCGAACCCACGACCTTCGGCTAAATACGCCGCTGCTCTACCACTTGAGTTATCGTGACTTCCAACCTCTCGAGTTTCCATCTCAACTCGTGACACTGACTTTTTTATCTCAACCAAGACCTTACATAAAAAGAATAATTAATAGTTAAAAATTGAGATGATTCATAGATATTAGAAATGGAATCACGTTTCTTTTTTATTGTTGATAGTTCAGACGGTCCACGTAGTGAAAGTGAGAAAGCGTGGAGGTATATTACCTATAATTGTGAGATGTTTGAAAAAGAACGCGAATCATTTATAAGAAGGATTTTACACAGACATTTCGTATCATTTGTAAATTGTTTTGATTTAGCAAAATTATTAATTCTATTATATTTCTATTTATTCCCAAACATCTATAGTTCAAATGGGGAAACAGGTTGTCAAATAAACGACCCAATAGCCGAGTAAGTCATTAGGGGGAGGGGAAAGGATCAGAGGAGGATCAGAGAATAGTCCGGCTATGTTATCGGCAAAGGATGCAATGAAAGTTTTTGGTTTAATTGGGACATTTGAGGTATAAAAGAGAGAGAGAGAGAGAGAGAGAGAGAGAGAGAGAGTATCGGTCAAAGCACACTGTCCTGCGGTACATCTGCGGCCATAGACAGTATTCTGTAGTCGAACAAACCGCTCTGATAGATAAGAACGCAGGATTAAGTAAAGGGTATTTGGGAAAACACGCTTCAACTTGTACAGAAGACCATGGTCGATACTTGTGCCACATCAAAAAGGTTACCATGTAATATAGCTTGCTCTCAAGATCTACAACCAGAATCACTGGGAGAAGGTAAGACTTGATAAGATTGGTATCATTTGTTTAACCAAAATATGTTCAAATACTTTATACGTGATGGGAGTTAAACTAATTGGAAAATGTGATGAGGTTTTTGAACTGGTTTCCCAAGTTTTGGGAAAAGGAAGGCGTTCGGGTAATACGCACTTGTAGAATTATTTCAGAAATGTTATAGCTTTTTGCTGGAGTTAATGGAAAATTTTGGATTTAATTAAGTCAAAATCAGAAGGATTGCGGTTTTGTAAGCCACACAGTATGTATTTGACCTTAGAGGTGGTGGTTGTCGGAGGGAGGGACAAATTATTGTATTGAAAATAAGGTGCAAATCCCAGCAAACAACCGAAAAAGTGTCTGCGTGGCGACTTTAGTATCGTGATTTATCACCGTCATAATACATTCAGAGCTGGACGACACCCAAATTAAAATTTCGTCACAGTGATGCCAGTAGGTTGATGTTGGATGTTATTGTTAATCGATTAGGTAATTAATAAAAATAATATTTTTTAATTATACAAGAAGACTACGTCTTTCCCCACCCTCGTTACAGCTCAGAAGTGGTAAATATTCAATCGTCTTTTCCAGTCACTTTTTTTTTTTGCCTTATGATCTATGCATATTAACCATGGTAACGAATTCTTGTATGTGTGTTCATATTGGAGGGGGGGGGTATCGTGAAAAAAGGGCCAGAGGCGACGGTGGGAATCGAACCCGCAGCGTCTATGAGCCGAGTCTCTCACGCTAACCACTCGGCTACCGCGGTCCCCCAGTCACTCTCTTATGCTTTGAAAAAAATTTACAAAGATACTTTTATCTCGGAACGAACTACATGCTGTATAGTTCTATTTATATAACAATACAACAATAATTAATAATAGTTGTACATGAAAAAATTCTTTGTAACAACATTAAGAAACAAAATTGCCAATGAAAGATTTAATTTAATTATTTGATATTTGTTAAAATATGATTAAAAACTTTATCAAGCCGGCAATTAAAATGTGGGTGAATAAAAAAAATCGAGTAAACAATGATTTCTAAGATTTTTCGAAAAACAGCAAGTCATTCTAGATAAGTAGTTTATAAACGAACCTGTTTTCGCAAGGGTGGGAATTGTTCCATGCCTTTGGGCAGTTTACTTGTTTTGGACTCACTCTTCAGTGAACTTCTTGTCTGGCAACATCCAGGTATGAGACAACTACCCACCAATCCTTATATAACTATGTATGAACATAATATTACTAATACCATGCAAATGTGGGCCAGAATATTTTTATTTTGTACGATTGGTTAATATTTCATTTTATTTTACGATCAAATAATATAGACAAGTTAATTAATAATACATAAGTGTTGTGCTATTAAGTGATTTAATCATTCAGGGTAGGTAGGTCAGTGGTTCCCAACAGATAGATTATATAAATATTTTTAATTTTGTAAAGTATTTTATTATTTTACAATGCAAACATCTTTATTCTATTTTTATTTACTGTATTGTACTTTCTTTTTTTTTTCAGAAAATGTTGCTTGAGTTTATAGCTCTGTTTGTGCTCGTCGTCTTGATTTACAAGATATTCAGCCCTTATGATTATTGGAAGAAGAAAGGGTATCCATATGTTGAAGGAAGTTTCCCATTTGGAACAAGCCCACCTTTGTTTTTTTCAAAGATCTACCAAGGGCATATAATTGAAAAAATATACAATGAGTTATCCCCACATCCGTTTGGTGGATTTTACATCGTCCAGACACCGCACCTGATGTTACGCGATCCCGTGCTTATAAAACATATTATGGTCAAGGACTTTTCCCATTTTAGAAGCCGGTTCGGAAATAGATCTTCTCCAGACGATCCCCTATCTCAGCATCTTTTCAACCTGGAGGGCGACCTTTGGAGGAGCGTTCGGGTTAAGCTGACTCCGACGTTTACTTCCGGGAAGATGAAAATGATGTACGCGCTTTTCGAAGCATGTGCTAACAATTTGAGCAAAGTTTTAGACGATTCTGTCGGAAAGGACGTCGACATAAAAGATTTATTCGCTCGCTTCACGACAGACGTGATAGTCACCTGTGCATTCGGCCTGGAAGTCGACTCTCTCAACGACCCGACAAATGAATTTCGGACCATCGGACAAGACATCTTTCCCCCTTATGCTACCCGTTTGATGAAACTCACCCTTTTTATAAGATTTTCTTCAATGAGATTTCTAAGACGGCTTCTTCGTTTAACAACCCTGCCTAAAAAAGTGAACAATTTCATAATAAACACGATAAAAGACACGATAGATTACAGAGAAAAAAACAACGTGAAGCGAAACGATTTTCTAAACTTGCTCATCGAAATGAGAAATAAACCGTTGAGTGGTGCAGACGGACATAAAAAGGACGAATTAGGTAAGTCCATATAATTTATAATCAATAAAATCATTTAATTTAATTTGGAACAATTATGCTATCAAAATAATCTTATTATTAACGTTAAGAATCAACCAAAATTTGCTGGATTACATTTATTATTATTTTTCATGTAAGAAAATAATGCTATTCTTGTTTTATTGGATTTATAGGTTGGCGTAATGTCCAATTACCTATAGGGGACTAGTGTAAATTTACCATTTTGTACTCTGTACAATCTTCTAAAAAAACAGTATTTTCAGTCGTTTCTTTCAATATCCATTACCTCAATGGATTAATAATAATAATAATGATAAATTATTATTCGGAAATTGTGAGATGCGCTCTTGTGTGATGTTAAAACATTTTCTTTATCGTGCCAAGAATGGCACACTTACGCAGAAAACAAACAATTTGAGCCCTGAAGACGATCTCAATATAGATCGAAACGTTGGCACGATAAAGAAAATGTTTTTCTGAAACCTACATCACACCAGATCACAATCTCCAAATAATCATCGACTAACGGTCACCAATCACAACACAGAATAATGATAAAGTTAACTTTTATACTTCGCATATTTTTGTTTATCACAATTGGTTTAAAAAAGATGCCATAAATATTTTTTATTATATTATTTATAAAGGGCTTTTGGTGTTGTTTGTTTTTCAGAGATGGATATGGGAATGATAGCAGCACAGTGTTTCGTTTTCTTTGCAGCCGGTTTTGAAACAAGTTCATCAGTCCAAAGCTACGCACTTTACGAACTGGCAATGAACCAGGATATTCAAAAAACCTTAAAGGAAGAAATCGACGAAGTGCTTGCAAAACACGGCGGAAAGCCGACGTACGAGGCGTTGCAAGAAATGCCATATTTGGAGCAGGTCATCAACGGTATGCCAGATATACAAAAGTATACTAAAAAATCCTGTAATGCAAATTTGTAAATACAATTTTCTATTAAGGATTAAAAAAAAAGGATAGTACAATTATGTCTGATTTTTGAGAGTGACATAGGAATGAATCGAATATCTTTGGTGTTCCTTAGAACAAGGAACAAAGTTCTTTTATCACTGTCCAATAAATTTTTACAGTTGTAATATCATTTTTTCTACTAAAAAAACGTTAAAGAGACTTCTTGCTTTTATTTCAGAGGTAATGAGAAAATACCCGACCGTGCCCATGCTCACTCGGGAGTGCACCGAGGACTTCGAATTAGAAGAATTCGGCCTCAAAATTAAGAAGGGTGAACAAGTCTTAATTCCGACGTACGCACTTCACCACGACCCGAAGTACTTTCCGTCTCCGCAAAAGTTCAACCCAAGTCGCTTTTCAGAAGAAAACAAATCGTCAATAGTTCCCTTCACGTATCTTCCATTTGGAGAAGGCCCGAGGATTTGTATCGGTAAGTTTTTACAAATTTTTAAAAATTCTCTTGTAAAATTTATTGCAGGCTGTCTTACACTAATGCCTCCAACATTTTAAAATCTATGTAACAAAAATATTATAAATTATCTTTTCATATATTATTTCAGTACAGTTGCTACTGTCATATTTAACTACATCTAGAGAATCCATTATTTTAAAGATTATGGTAAATTAATTAAATTTTCAACTAAAGAAGAGATGAAAGAAGATGCTGTATCGACCTGCTTGTTGAACAACTTGAACAGAAGGATCTTCGGTTAGGTCACCACAACACCTGCTTGTTGTGACCTCACTGAAGATAATTCTGTTTAAATTTTAAACTCTTAAGCACTAATTGAAAAATAGAAACTACATTAGTAGTCTTAATTTACATGAGTCGTTTGTAATTTTTGAGGTACTTCCATACGAATATTAATTTTTGCAAAGTTGATGTCGAAGTTGATTTGATTAAACAACAAAAAATTGTTGTAATTTTTGAGATAGTTTTCTACGTTTGGCGGCTAATGCTGTATTTAGCTACAGAAACCATTATTTTAAAGATGAAGCTAAATTTACAGAATTTTCAACTGCTAAGTAGTAATTGAAAAATTATAAAATATTACTAGTTTTTAGTTTTATATATAGTTCCTCCATTCCATACGAACATTAATTTTTGACCACCAATTTGTCCGCATCTCACGATCTCTCAATAGTCTTTGATTTTTTTGTAGTTTATGTCGAATTTGGTTTGAATTAACACAAAACGGAGAAAACAATTACTGTAGTTTTTGGGGTAACACAATAACGGCATATATCCGGTCCAAATCTGCAACAACATAGTTAATAAAAATGTTTAATATTAACTATAACTATATGATTTAAAATGCTTACATCTAGTTTAATTTTTAGCTCAATTTAAATAATATAAAAATCTTTTTGTTTGTTTTGTAGGTATGCGATTCGGGATGATGCAAACAAAAGTAGGCCTAGTAACAGCCCTGTCGCGTTTTAACATATTCCCATCATCTTCAACACCGAAGACTCTGAAGTTTGCTCCAACAGCTTCCATAACGATCGTCGAAGGTTCAATCAATTTAAAGTTTGAAAAAAGACAATAATAATTTTTCTTCAAAAAGTTTTCTGATCTCAGTGAATGAAGGATATTAATAATAGAATTGTAGTGCAATATTTGATATATAATATTAATTATGTATGGATATAATTGATGTGTAAGCAATTGTCTGCACATAAAATATAAATTAAATTATATTTAATTTTAAAAAATTTATCATTACATTATTTTTTTCTTGTAGTTTATAGTATTATAATGTTAGGGTAAAATACAACGTTATTTTTGACCTAAGTAAAACATTTCGTATAAAAAAATATTTAAAATTGTTATCTTGTTTCAATCAAACCTTAATCCTCTAGGGCCTTCTCTACATTTTAGTAAATTGAGATCTAAAAACATTGTGCATTTTATTAGATAGCACTCGAAAGTGAAAGAGAGAAGTTGAAATTCGTTATCAAATGTTTAAAGAAATCACTATAAATAGTGGTATTATTTATTTGTATTTTTTTTTAATATATACGTGGGATATCAAAAAACTCTAGTATTTTATTAACTGTTTCTAATGCCAAAGTATTACTATGTTTTACCAAAACAGCCAGGATAAGCGAGAAAATAAAACTCCATTTTTCAAATATCAAGTATAAATCCCTAAATTACATCCTTTGGTTACATTTACGGCTTCAATTTAAATTTTTTGAATAGCGTTTTTGTAAAGATTTTTTAAAAAATTCTTCAACTTGTCTTTTCGTTTACAAGCCTATTTCGATAATTTCAATAATACAGATCAACATTAATTTTAAAATAAAACAGGATGAATCATATAATGTTGCAGTCTGACAGTATACACCTTCTTTTTAAATCATGTAAAACTGTTCAGTGTTTTTAAATTTACGCCATCTCTACACCATCAGAAAGCCATCTCCGAATAGCTTTCCATCAGCTTTGCATGCTGAAATCGGCAAAACGCTTATCCGGTAGACTTTGAGTAACTAGTGCATTCATTCGAATCTTATGATTCGCAGACAAACTCTAAATTTATTTATAATGGACAAAGGTAAAATATTTACACGTCAGAACAATATGTAGCTAAATATCAATTTCCTAAACAAAACTAGTTCAATCTCCGGTCAGCTCATTTAAATTCGTGGTACTCACACATTTTACTGTTGATAAGCTTCTATAAACTACCAAGTTTTCTTAAATCTATTTGTACAGACATCGACTTATTCGTCAGATATGCCAAGTTTTCCTTCATAGGATTTTGAGCCCCAATCATTATCGATAATCCGCGAGTATCATATTAATCCTTGTTTACGCTCTCGGTTAATCACCATCATGGCCGACGTAAGGAGAGATGATGATCGAGGTGAATATGGAAGGCTTAATTTCTTGTTTTGAACCACCCAGACCAAAAACTAATTGTATTATGTTTCAACACTCCTTCAGGAATAATTCGTGATCCATCCTTAATTTTAAGTGAATATTACATGTTTTGCCTTTTGGATTATTTGAAGGTGATGAGCGTTTATATAATTTTTTGCATAGAATCCAGTACAAAAAATATCATTATAATGGCACTCTCTGGCATTAAAGTATAATGGGCACTCTCAACACGACACGCAAGAATGACACAATTACACAGAAGACAAACACACACTTTGAGCCCTGAAAATGATCTCAATAAAGATCGAAACGTTGGCACGATAAAGAAAATGTTTTTCTGAACCAGACCGCATCTCACGATTTCTGAATAATTATAATAATATTTTAAATAAAGTTGCAATTATGCTCAAGCGATTTTGTAATAGTGTATAGGAATATTACATACTCAAAGATTATATACAAAACTTGTAAGAAATTTACTACTTATATAAAACATATATATAAAAATAACATTTGATTTTTATCATCACATTGTGATGCTACAAATTACAAAACAAAAAAGTAAATTTATTGTAAATACTATTAAAGTATAATTTCATTTATACAATATGTGCAGTTTAAAACTCTATCACTTATACATCAAACATATGTATACCGATTAAACTTATAAATCGAGTATTGCACTTATAATCTAATATATTATATTTCGTGGTCCGATTGACCAATTACTTCATCCAATTAATTAATCTTTATGTAAGGTATTGGTTGAAATGAAAAAGCTGGTGTCAGGAGCGAGATTCGAACCCGTAGAGATGGGGAGTTGGTGTCGGAGTGGATGGAAGTCAATGTAGCTAAGGCGGTTAGAGCAGCTGCGTATTGAGCCAAAGGTCGTGGGTTCGAATCCCGCTCGTGACACTAGTTTTTCATGTCAACCAATACCTTACATAAAGATTATAATCTAATATTAACATCCACTGTTCACAGAGATAAAAATACCTCTTACAGAAAAATTCTTATTATCTTTTTTCAAACTTTAAATTGATTGAACCTTCGACTATCGTTATGGAAGCTGTTGGAGCAAACTTCAGGGACTTCGGTGTTGAGGATGATGGAAATATGTTAAAACGCGACAGCGCAGTTACTAGGCCTAGTTTCGTCTGCATCATCCCGAATCGCATACCTACAAAACAAACAAAAACATTTTTATGTAATTCAAATTGAGTTAAAAATCAACTAAGATTTAACCATTTTAAATCGCCGTAAGTCGTAGGTTTAACGTTACAAAATTTTAAAAAACATGTTTGTACAGATTTGGACACTCGTTGTATGCCGTTTATGCCCAAGCCAAAAATAGAAAATTACCCCAAACATTACAATAATTGTTTTAATTAAATAACAGGTTATTTATAATGATAAATATAGGTTAAATAAATGAACACAAAATTAATATTCATATGACGGTACTTCAAAAAATGCAAAAGTCTTATGTAAATTAAAACCACTAATATAGTTTCTATTATTCAGTTAGTGCTTAGATGGTTAAAATTCAATTAATTTACTATAATCTTTAAAATAATGGATTCTCTTCGAGTAGTTAAATAGAACAAAAGCAACTGTACTAAGACACTATATTAAACGATATTTTCTAATATACATTTTTATTATATAGATCGTCTAATGTAGCAGTCGATAGGGTAAAAGAGTCTGCAATAAAATTAAATTTAAAGATAATTTATAATGTGTGGTGGTTAATGACCGTTAATCGATAATTATTCAGAAATCGTGAGATGCGGTCTGGTGTGATGTAGGTTTCAGAAAAACATTTTTTTTTATCGTGCCAACGTTTCGATCTTTATTGAGATCATCTTCAGGCCCTGGGATTTACAAACATTGTTTGTACATCCTACATGTATTTGTTAAATGTAAACAATGTTTGTAAATCCCAGGCCCTGAAGATGATCTCAATAACGATCGAAACGTTGGCACGATAAAGAAAATGTTTTTCTGAAACCTACATCACACCAGACCGCATCTCACGATTTCTGAATAATAATTTATAATAGTTTTGTTATACAGAGTCTAAAAGGTTGCAGGCAATAGTCTAAGGCAGCCTGCAATAAATTTTACAACAGAATTTTTAAAAAGTTGTAAAAACTTACCAATACAAATCCTCGGGCCTTCTCCAAATGGAAGATAGGTGAAAGGAACTATTGACGACTTGTTTTCTTCTGAAAAGCGACTTGGGTTGAATTTTTGCGGAGACGGAAAGTACTTCGGGTCGTGTTGAAGTGCGTACGTCGGAATTAAGATTTGTTCACTCTTCTTAATTTTGAGGCCAAACTCATCTAGTACGTAGTCTTTGGTGCACTCCCGAGTGAGAAAGGGCAGGGTCGGGTATTTTCTCATTACCTCTGAAATAAAAGTAAGAAATCTCTTTAACGTTTTTTTAGTAGAAAAAATGATATTACTACTGTAAAAATGTATTGGACAGTGATAAAAGACCTTTCTGTTCTAAGGAACAACCAAGGATATATTTTTTTTTTTTACGAGGTTTCGCAACAGAAGTTATATCAACTCTCGGGGTGCCGGTGTTTTTGAAAAAAAGGCCATTTGTAAGTATGTCGGGTTCGAATGCAGGGCCGCTGGATTCGAACCGGGACCTTTACCTTATAGTGATGAGCGCCGTGTCAAAGACTAAACCTTGCGGCCACCGACGCCCCAATCCAAGGATATTCGATTCATTCGTATGTGACTCTCAAAAATCAGACATAATAGTAATATCCTTTTTTTTATCCTTAATATAAAATTGAATTTACAAATTTGCATTACAGGATTGTTTAGTATACTTTTGTATATCTAGCATACCGTTGATGACCTGCTCTAAATATGGCATTTCTTGCAACGCCTCGTACGTCGGCTTTCCGCCGTGTTTGGCAAGCACTTCGTCGATTTCTTCCCTTAAGGTTTTTTGAATATCCTGGTTCATTGCCAGTTCGTAAAGTGCGTAGCTTTGGACTGATGAACTTGTTTCAAAACAGGCTGCAAAGAAAACGAAACACTGTGCTGCTATCATTCCCAGATCCATCTCTGAAACAAAACGCCAAGCAAAACTCTTTTAACACAAAAAAAATTAAAAATCTATTTATAGCTACATTTCTAAGTCAATTTTGAATCAAACATACACAAAATGTAAAATTAATTTTTATCATTAATTTTAATACATGACAATTAATTAAGGTTTTTAGTTGAGATGAAAAAAGTTAATGGCACGAGAGGGATTCGAACCCACGACCTTCGGCTAGATACGCCGCTGCTCTACCACCTGAGCTATCGTGACCTCGATCCTCTCGGACATCAACTCCCCATCTCAACCCCACCTTATGAGTTTTCCCTCCTTTTTGCCATTTTTCAAATGTCGTGTAATCCGATTGGATTCCCGACGACAAATGAAATGGCCACGGAGAGCTTTGGTGAAGTACACTTCATTTTAAATCATTAAATTCGCTAATTTCGTGGTCCGCTTGACCAATTAATATATTACAATTAATTACGGTTTTTAGTTGAGATAAAGAAGTCAGCCTCACGAGCGGGATTCGAACCCACGACCTTCGGCTAAATACGCCGCTGCTGTACCACTTGAGCTATCGTGACCTCGATCTTCTCGAACATCAACTCCCCATCTCAACCCCACCTTATGAGTTTTCCCTCCTTTTCCCTTTTTTCATCTCAACCAAAAACCTTAATTAATTGTCATGTATTAATTGGTCAAGCGGACCACGAAAGTAGTGAATTAATTTTAATCTGTTAAGATAATTAACACTGCAAGAAACTTAAAAGAAGCTACTGCATTCTATCGTACATCTCTTTTCAGAAAACATGTTCACAACAAGCAATAATCATTTATTGTAGGACGTAAAAGAGAATAATAACAGTAAATTAA